GGGAACCCCCACAGCTGGGCCGTGGTGCGGGAGCCCCTGCAGCTGTGCAGAGGGAACCCCCACAGCTGGGCCGTGGTGCGGGAGCCCCTGCGGCTGTGCAGAGGGAGCCCCCACAGCTGGGCCGTGGTGCGGGAGCCCCCACAGCTGGGTCGTGGTGTGGGAGCCCCCGCGGCTGTGCAGAGACTTCTTAGGATGAATAGCCTGTCCAGTAATTGTGTATACAAACAACCAGATAAGAATGAATGGATTTAGTGTTAGATCTGGACTCTTGCTGCATATCTACTTACGTGGACAACTTCTCTCCTCTGCTCTAGGGAATTTAAACTCGAAGATGGCAAGGCGGTCATCCCCCTCGGCGTCACAGTTCAGGGGGACGTGCTCATTGTCATTTACCATGCCAGGTCCACTCTGGGAGGGAGGCTGCAGGCCAAGGTGAGCACCTCTGCGGCCACGGCTGTGGATTCTCACTCCCAGTGAACTTTCAGATAGTATCCCCCAGCTTCTGTGCGTGGTCTTTGATGCCCTCCGCGTGACACAAGGCAGAAGGGATTCTAGACTTTTCCCCTTGATACGGAGACTGGAGACTGCGGTCTGGTGGCAGGCCACTGGCTTGGCCTCTGAATGCACTTCACAGCCAAGCGTCTCTGGGGCTCTGCACCATAATTCTTGGTCCCTACATACACCCAGTAGGAGGTTTGGCCATGTCACCCTCTGTCCCCTATACTTTTGAAGCCATCTGTAAGAAGACCTGGTTATCAGACTCTACCTGGCAGCCATCCTCAAGGAAAGGTCTGGATACATAATCAGTGGTTACATCCCAGTGGTTCTTGTTTGCCTTCTTGCAGATGGCATCCATGAAGATGTTCCAGATACAGTTCCACACTGGGTTTGTGCCCCGCAACGCGACCACTGTGAAGTTTGCAAAGTATGTTTGATGATGCACTGTGCTACAACATGCTGGGGGGCTGGGGGCCGGTGGGCCTGTGCACTTAGGTGTGTCAGAGGGCTGGGGGGCGGGGGCCTGTGCACTTAGGTGTGTCAGAGGGCCGGGGGCCTGTGCACTTAGGTGTGTCAGAGAGCCAGTGGGCCGGTGCACTTAGGTGTGTCAGAGGGCCTGGGGCCGGTGCACTTAGGTGTGTCAGAGGGCCGGGGGCCGGTGCACTTAGGTGTGTCAGAGGGCCTGGGGCCGGTGCACTTAGGTGTGTCAGAGGGCCGGGGGCCGGTGCACTTAGGTGTGTCAGAGGGCCGGGGACCGGTGGGCCGGTGCATTTAGGTGTGTCAGAGAGCCGGGGGCCGGTGCACTTAGGTGTGTCAGAGGGCCGGGGGCCGGTGCACTTAGGTGTGTCAGAGGGCCGGGGACCGGTGGGCCGGTGCATTTAGGTGTGTCAGAGAGCCGGGGACCGGTGCACTTAGGTGTGTCAGAGGGGCGGGGGCCGGTGCACTTAGGTGTGTCAGAGGGCCGGGACCGGTGGGCCGGTGCACTTAGGTGTGTCAGAGGGGCGGGGGCCGGTGCACTTAGGTGTGTCAGAGGGCCGGGGGCCTGTGCACTTAGGTGTGTCAGGGAGCCGGGGACCGGTGCACTTAGGTGTGTCAGAGGGCCGGGGACCGGTGGGCCGGTGCACTTAGGTGTGTCAGAGGGCCGGGGACCGGTGGGCCTGTGCACTTAGGTGTGTCAGAGGGCCGGGGAACCGGTGGGCCGGTGCACTTAGGTGTGTCAGAGGGCCCGGGGACCGGTGGGCCTGTGCACTTAGGTGTGTCAGAGGGCCGGGGACCAGGGGCCGGGGACTGGTGGGCCTCTGCACTTAGGTGTGTCAGAGGGCCGGGGACCAGGGGCTGGGGACTGGTGGGCCTGTGCACTTAGGTGTGTCAGAGGGCCGGGGACCAGGGGCCGGGGACTGGTAGGCCTGTGCACTTAGGTGTGTCAGAGGGCCGGGGACCAGGGGCTGGGGACTGGTGGGCCTGTGCACTTAGAAGTGTGTCAGAGGACCGGGGACCGGTGGGCCTGTGCACTTAGGTGTGTCAGAGGGCCGGGGGCTGGGGACCTGTGGGCCTGTGCACTTAGGTGTGTCAGAGGGCCGGGGACCGGTGGGCCTGTGCACTTAGGTGTGTCAGAGGGCCAGGGGCTGGGGGCCGGTGGGCCTGTGCACTTAGGTCTGTCAGAGGGCCGGGGACCAGGGGCTGTGACTGGTGGGCGTGTGCACTTAGGTGTGTCAGAGACTTGTGTGCTGCCATGAGAGGCATCTGTGACCCAAACCAGACCCTTCCCTGCCTAGAGCCATCTGGCCTCTGCTTTCAAGACTCCTTAGGCCCAGTGGCCTCCACTTGGTGCCCAAATACCTTTGTACTGATCCAGTACTTTCCACCTAGAACATGGCCAGGGAGAGGGCAAGTCTACCACATACTCTCTGAGGCCCTGCTGTGTGTACATTACTCTTTTGGCACTGTACTTGGAGGAAGCTACTGGTCCTTCCATGTGGAAGTCTCTGCTTTTAGAGACAAACGTAGCAAGCACAGCCAGGAGGAGCAATCCTGTAGGTGGCTTGGATACTGAATGCCAACCTCGGTGACTAGTAAGTAGTAACCCATGGCCTACGAACAGCAAGATTTGTGTTTCCAGACTTGGGTGTTTGTGTCTACTCCATCATCTATGTACTTAGAGCCTGAGCAGATGGAGTGCTGTCCCAGCAGTGAGCAGAGAGTTGCAGGAGTTCCTGTCTCCTGCCCTTCAGGGCTTGCCATGGGTCCGGGGCCAGGAGATGGAGGTGACGCATCCCAAGGTTCATATGTGTTACTCCCTCTTATGTTCATGTTGATGTACATCTTTCATATTGTTGTTGTTGTCTCCCAGCACACACACTTTTTGTTACTGGTCCTGGGGCTTGAACTCAGGGCATAGGTGCTATCCCTGAGCTTTATTTGCTCGTCTAGTACTCTACCACTTGAGCCACTGCTCTACTTCAGGCTTTTTTTGAGTGATTTATTGGAGATAAGAGTCTCACAGACTTTGCTGCCCAAGCTGGCTTCAAACCGTGATCCTAAAATCTCAGCCTCCTGAGTACTAAGATTACAGATATGAGCCACTAGTGCCTGAATCTCTTTTTCTGTCTCTCTTTTTAACCTGGAAGTTTTTAGTTTTCAACCACTATGGAGGCATACTTTAAAAAATTACTTTAGAGACTTAATGTTTGAAAACCAAGAGGAACAGGCAGGTGGGAGGTCTGATTCAGATCTTAGAAATTAGAAAACAGAAACTTTTGGTAGCTGTGATTAGCATTGTTATTGCTTGACTGTTTCCACCAAAACTCATGATGGGGGATAAACTCCCATCTTGATGTATGGAGAGGGTGGAAACAGTTTCCTGTTGGAATTGACTGGGTTAAATCAGGTAGCAGTGGTTGAGGTCCTGAGCCCTGGGATGGCTTCCTAGGGGAAGGAGAGGCTGGGGCTGGACGCTGTAGCCTCAGGGCACTGCCAAGCCCTAGTTAGCACCCCCACCAGTCTCTGACTTCCTAGCCCTCAGACCCTGAGCAGAATAAGCCTGTGTTCTCCACAATGGTGCTGTTACATCACCAAAAAACAAACCAACCAGTGTATTTAAGAGTACATAGAAAAGCTGGACTCCGGTAGCTCATGCCTGTAATTCTAGCTACTAAAAAGGCTTAGAGGTTCATGGTTCAAAGTCAGCCTGGGCAGGAAAGTCTGTGAGAGTCTTAACTTCAATTCACCACCAATAAGTGGTTAGGTGATAGAGTGCCAGGCTTGAGCAAAAAAGCTAAGGGACAGTGCCAGTCCCTGAGTTCAAGGCTCAGGACCAGCGCACGTGCGTGTGTGTGTGCATGCGCGCACACACACACACACACAACGTTCAGTACAAGCCCTCTCCTGAAGTGGGGTCTGCTGGAACTGGCGTTGCACTTAGGGACGTCTGGCCGCGCCGCAGGCATCCTGTGGTAGAGGTAGGCGATTTCCAGAGGAGCCGGATGCCGTCATTAAGTCACCCGTCCCCAGCCTGCAGCATCTCAGCACACCTAAAGGAAAATAAGCTTTCTGTATAGCACTTAGAACAAAAGTTTGTCAGTAACTATGATTATTTCACAGTACTATTAACAATTACTAAATTCAGTTCTAGTGTCCCAGAGAAAGATGGGTTCCTAGCTTCTGTTAGAGAACAATGTAGCAGCATGCCTGACACCACACAACGGAGATGTGAGGAAGACAGAAATGCACATTGTAGGTAAAGTTAAAGTGTGTGCCAAGAAGCTGAAACCTCAGTAATCACATACTATCAGATTTAAGGTCTGTGACTGCCAACGAGGATTTGTGCCTGGTAGGGGGCTCCCACGCTAGCCCCTGGCTCAGAAGTCACTGGAATGAATGTGTGCCAGTTTCACACTCCTCCAGGTCAAGGACACACGTTGAAATCCCAGGACAGTGAGAAAGAGCTGATAGATGAGAAGATGGAGCACAGAGCATGCGATTGACCCAGATAGGAACAGAGAAATGAAGATATAGAACCGGAGTAGACAGGTAGAAAAGAAGCCACACACTGGTAGACTTAACCCAATACATCAGTCCTTATCCTGAATGAGGACCAATTGCTGCCAATGAAAAAGGACAGTTAAGCTTGTTAAAACAAGTGAGGGGCTGGTGGTGGCTCACACCTGTCACCCTAGCTACTCAGGAGGCTGAGATCTGAGGACTGCAAGCCTGGGCAGGAATATCTGTGAGATACACTATCTCCAATGAACCACCAGAAAACTGGAAGTGGTGCTGTGGCTCAAGTGGCAGAGCACTAGCCTTGAGCTGAAGAGCTGAGGGACAGCACCAGGCCCTGAGTTCAAGCCCCATGACTGACCAAAAAAAAAATGAGAGCCAGGCACTGATGGCTCAGGCCTGTAATCCTAGCTACTCAGGAGGCTGAGATCTAGGGATCACAGTTCACAGCCAAGCTGGGCAGGAAAGTCTTGAGAGTTTTCTCTAATGACAAAATGCCAGCCTGGAGGCACAGTTCAAGTATAGGGTACCAGCTATGAGCAAACCAGCACACACAAAAAAACAAAAGCAGGGGCTGGGAAGGTGGCTCAGTGGTAGAGCGCTTGCCTTGCATGCATGAGGCCCTGGGTTTGATTCCTCAGCACCACATAAGCAAAAAGAAAAAAGCCAGAAGTGGTAGAGCGCTAGCCTTGAGCTGAAGAGCTGAGGGACAGCACCCAGACCCAGAGTTCAGGCACCACGACTGGACCCAAAAAACAAAACAAAAAAAAGCAGGAGGGCCAGACCCTGGCCAGTGCCATCTCCTTCCTTGTCTGGTAGAACAAGTCAGTCAGGATGTTTAGACAGCATGAGACTGTTGACCTGAATTGTACAGTTCAAAATGTGAGCTTTTTCTTGTTTGGGGTTTTCATTGTGGGTTTGGAGGAGCGCGTTCAAATGTGGTTATTGAATATACCAGCTGCACCAGCACCAAGCCCACTGTGATGGCACTGTAGCACCGCCATGATGAGGGCCGAGCGGAGGGTGCGTGGCAAGCCCACGCTCCACGTGCACTCAGCATTTGGAGCAGGAGGGGAGGGAGGGTCCGTGAGGTGTGCGTAGTGTGCCAGGGCTCCGTATGCACACAGCATCAGATGAGGCTCTGTGGGTGTCCTCAGCGACCGGAAGGCTCCAGAGGGCTTCGGTGCGCTGTGGCAGTGAGGACGTGTTGACCGAAGCCCCGTGGGTGCCCTTCCACTGGGCGTGGAAGCTCTGTCTTCTGAGGCTTGGCCCTCGGGTGCTACACTCACTGCTCACAGACCCCATTGTGTCCTCACTGGCCTGGCTGAGTGCATTGGACAGGGCCAGCTAGGGCAGGGAAGCAGGGGGCAGTGCCCAGAGCTGCTGTCCACCAGCCTGGGGCTAAGCCTGTTGATCACACATGTCACCCTGCATGGACCTCCAGCCCCTCTCCTCTCTCCCTTCTTGTTGATGGAGAATCTGTCTCAGCCATCTGTTACTGCAGTTCTACGTTGACTGCTCTGCCTGGCCAGGTGCTGTCCTCAAGTTGTCTTCCAGCTTCACACACAGGGAGGGAAACTTCTGCCTTCTCCCTCCATCCCGTGCCTCCTGTGTGCAGAGGGCTGGGCGCACCGGCGTCTCACGCAGCTGCAGCCCACAGCACACCACTTGCAAAGCTGGGCTTTGCCACGTGAACTGCCACACCCTGGCCACCCCACCCTCCTTGTCTAGTGTTGTCACAGAGGAGCCCACAGACTGAGAGTAGGTGGCCCCTCATCACCTGGTTTTCCTGGGGCCAGCCAACACCGCCCTGTTTGTTTTGTGGGTTTGTTGTTTTGGTTTATATGAGGCTCCAGGGTGCTGCACAGAGACGCTGGGTGGCATGCATGCACAGCTAAAGGCCGTGTCTGTGTCAGCTGCAGAGCTGCCACGCAGGAAGAATTCAGCCGTATGGCCGGGGTCCCTGACCACAGAGTCCTCCGGGGGGCTTGTCACCTCTCACGCTGCTGGACTGCTGCCCGTGGCTTCTGGAGACCCTGAGCGTCTCACTCTGCTGCCTTCCTGCCCCTCTGTTTCCTAAGGCAGGTAGATCTAGGCAGATCCTGCTGCCTCCTTCTTCGAGACCCCGGCAACTAAATGCCAGGAGTCTTGGTTTTATGGCCATCTGATCATCGTTAGGGATTTTTGCCAGGGTAGACATTGTATTTTTATGGGGAAAATGCATTTAAGCTTTCAGAGTACCTGAATATGAACCAGCTAAGATTCTTCAGTGCAGGTACGGTTGGGAAGGGGTGGGGGGCGTGGCCTGGAGCCCTTTGTCAGGATGGACATGTAGCCTGCTGCCTGCTCTAAGAGTTGTGACACTGGTAGCCTTTCTGTCTGCTCTGGTCACATTTACGTGCCTGTCCTCCAGAGGACTCACGGTGCACAGGGACCCAGCCCAGTACTCATAATGTTAACAGCTGGAGAAAGCCCTGCCTTGGGGCCAGGGAGGCTGGGAAGCCGGGCTGCACCAGCCCTGCTGGAGTCCCGGGGGGGGGGGGGGAGGAAACGTGCACGCCAGCTGCCTTCGCACTGATGCTGCGGGTTCTGAGCACATCCCTTTCTTGGAGGCCAAGACACTGGGCTCCTTAAGGAGACTGTTCTCACTTGCATCCATTCCCTGTCTGCAGATACGACCTGGACGCATGCGACATTCAGGAAAAGTATCCAGACTTGTTTCAGGTGAACTTGGAAGTGGAGGTGGAGTCCAGGGACAGGCCCAGCCGAGAGGCCCCGCCATGGGAGAGTGCCAGCCTGAGGGGGCTGAACCCCAAGATCCTATTCTCCAGCCGAGAGGAACAGCAGGACATCCTGTCTAAATTTGGTAAGGCCCGTGACTTCTTGGGGAGTTCTGAGGGGGATGAGCTAAGCCAGGCAGCACCCTGTCCCTGCCCCAGGTACCTACCCCTAAACTCTGTTCAGGGTAGGAGCTACCGAGGTGGCGTTCACTGTTGACAAAGGTGTAGTAGTGGCATCAAGAAAAGGAGGCCTTCAGTTCTAGGATCCTGAACGCTGCTCCACCTCCCCGGCCGCCCTGGCCTCCCGCACGCCCACCACACAACCTGGCCACGTGGCCCCAGCACAGATCTCACCCACTCAGGTGCCAAGCTGGGAAACCCATTCTTGTGGCTCTTTGTAGGTTTGTGAGCCCTTGGGGCTGTGGGGCTAGGCCTGTGATGCTCCAAGAGGAACTTCCTCAGGGCTACGTTTGTATACTTGCTGACTCAAGGTCCTTATTAGAGATTCACAGCCATTTAAATGTGACCTTGAGGTGGTAGGGATCTGAGAATCAGGTTCAAAGCCAGCATGGGCAGGAAAATCCATGAGACTTTTATCTCCAATTAACCACCAGTAAAGCCAGAAGTGGAGCTGTAGCTCAGGTGGTAGAGCACTAGCCTTGAGCTTTTAAAAAAGCTCAAGAGAGAGTGTCCAGGCTCTGAGTTCAAGCTACAGGACTGGCACTAAGTAAATAAGCAAATGTGACCTCAGGGGTGGGGACGCTTGGCCTTGGTACCCTTGGCTCTTGGTGGTGGCCTCTGCTCAGCATGGATGTCTCTTTTCCTTATTTCAGAGCAGTTCCAAAAAGCATAGTCAAAGTACCTCGAGCAAAGCAGGTGGGGCTTGCGGCAGCACCTGCTGCCCACCGCACGTCTTTGCCATGGTTTGCATGTTTGCCATGCTTGCACCTTTTGCTTTTCTTATCTGAGGACAGTTAAGTAATCTTGAAAGGGACTTGCGTGTGTATGTATGTGTGTGTGCATGTGAGTGCAAGCGTGCTGTGTATGTGTGTGCCTATGCAGTCTAACGAAGTATCTGAGAGGGTGCAGGAGTACTCACACTTGGCCGTGGGGCCTCCCTGGCCGGGCCTGCCCTGAAGGCTTGCCTTGGGGCTCCGCCTGGGCTGTGGCACTGGCTCAGGTGGCCTGACGCCAGCCCTTCTCCTGGCAGGGAAGCCGGAGCTCCCCAGACAGCCGGGCTCCACCGCCCAGTACGACGCTGAGACGGGGTCTCCGGAGGCTGAGGTCACAGAGCCAGACTCTCCGCAGAGCAGCAGCACAGACGCCAACCACTTCCTCCACACGCTGGACTGGCAGGGTAGGCGCAGGGTGAGACTGGAGCTCACCGGTCACCAGAAGCGGCTCTGGCAGCAGGCTCTGCCTGCCACACAGATGTAGGGTCCTGAGTGGGGTCCCTGCCCAGTGATGTGCAGGGACGGCCACGGCTTCTTCAGAAGGGCTGCAGAGCCCTCACCTGCAGTCCTGGCTACGCAGGAGGCTAGATCTGAGGATTGCAGTTCAAAGCCAGCCCAGACAAGAAGTCTGTGAAACACTTACCTACAGCTAACCACCAAAAAGCCGGGAGTGAGGTGTGGCTCAAGTGGTAGAGTACCACCTTCAGTGGAAAAAAAACTAAAGAATAGCATTCAGGCCTTGAGCGCAAGCTCTATTACTGGCACCAAAAAACAAAAACAAAACAACCAAAAAAAAAAAAACACTTTTAAGGGTGGGGAAAAAATACGGCTACCCAGCCCTTTACTGAAACCATTTGCAACCAAGGCCCTCCGTAGAGAGCTCACCTTGTTAACGCCCAGGAGGTCTCGCTGGGGCAAGGCTGGCCTGAGCAGGGTGACCAGGTTGTGAGGGCAGGGGTCCTTACCCGGCCGTCTCCCCGCCCAGCCCCTCTGTGCTCCCAGGCCCCACAGTCTGATTGCTGCTCCAACCTCTTTACCTCGACCCCTCACCCCAAGGACTTTCCCTGACATCCCAGGGGATGCGGGGCTAGCCTGTGCTGCCGTATGCACCCTGCCAGACCGATTTGCAGAGCGCCCCCAAGGTGCACCTGCAGTACTGGAGCTGGACCCGTGGAAGCTGCTGCACAGCCCGCGACCTGGGAGCACCTCCATGGCCGGCTGGAGGCCGGGTGGTGCTGGCCAGGGCCGTGAAGGTGCTCAGTGTGACGTGAGCACCAAGGCCGGGGATGGCTGTGGGTAGACCTGGGGGCCGGGGCTGACCCTGTGACCCCTGCTCAGAGAGCATCCTCTGCCAGCCACACACCCTGAGGATTTACGCACCCACCTAAGGTTTTGTTTTCTTTCACAGAGGAAAGAGAACCAGAGACGGGTACAGAAAGCACCTCTCCTAAGGAGAGTCACTCTGCCCTGATTCTAGACGGAGATGGAAGCGAAGCCTCCGACGGGGGGGAGGGGTCCCCGTCCCCCTGCAGGGACCAGCAGCCAGGGGCTGCTGAGGACACACCAGGCCCGGCAGCCACGGCCGGACAACAAGACTTGATATTTGAGGCAGCCACAGCGGCCACACCACAGAAGCCTCAGTCTCAAGAAGAGGGCGTCGACCTCTTGGGGCTGCACTCAGAGGCGGACCCTGGGCCTGCCGCCCCCTCCCAGGCCTGCGGGGCCCCCTCCAGCAACACTGACCTGCTCAGCTGCCTCCTTGGGCCCCCCGAGTCTGCCCCCATCGGGCCCCCGGGGGACCTTCTTGACGGTGGAGCCCCCCTGCTCTTGGCCAGCCCAGCTCCCCCCCTGAGCGTGCAGAGCGCCCCACAAGGAGGGGCCCCTGCCGCTGGTATGCACTTCTGTTCTGCAGTGTGAGTGGGGCCTAGCCGCTCCGCCAGGCCGGAGGGGACGGTGGCTGTTACCCAGGCCCCGGGAGAAGCTGCGCCTGCAACGAGCCCCCAGGCCGGGGACCAGCAGCCGCACCTTTGTGGGTGCTGCTATGTCGCCATGCTACTGGTGTGCCCCTGGAGGGCAGCGTGGTGGCCGGGGCGCACCTCCTGGAGGCCATTTTCCCACGGAGGGCGGAAGCCTCAGGGCGGGAAGCTGGGCCCCTGAGCATTGCTTGCCCCTAATGCCCTGCTGCCCCCCTTCCCTGCCCGTCTCTCCTAGCTGACCCATTTGACCCACTTGTGGTACCGTCCGTCGCCAACACCCAACCCTGCTCCGAGCCTGATCTCTTCGGCAACTTTCTCAGCTCCGACTCCACTGCAGCCTCGGCCTTGCCTGCTTTTCCCTCCACGCACAGCGCCCCACCCCCAGCCTGCAGCACTGCCTTCCTGCTTCTAGGTGAGTGTCCTTCTGGAGTTGCTGCTTTAGACAGCCCCCTGGTGGCCACTCTGGAGTGGTGGGCAGGGAGGGGCCAGCTCTGGGCTACACACAAGGCCTTTGCCTCTCTGAGCTTTTACAACGCCTTTGGCTGTTGAGGTTAGGACTCTGGTGCCTTTCCCTTGTCTCTCCTAGCTGTCCGTTCAAACCTGGGAACAGGTTCTGGGTCACCTCTGCCTGAGGCTATGATGGGGGTGGGAGGCTGGGGTCCAGGAGCCAGCGGCTGGGAAGAGGGAGGGAGGAGGCTGTGGGGAGGGCTAGGCCTGGAGCAGCGGGCCAGGCCATGTAGCCAGAGACTATGAAGAGGAAGCGTCATTCTGAGCACTGGGCAGCAGGCCAGGATGTGTCCTTGGGGGTCACAGACCACCATGGGTCTCTTGTTGGCCAGAGCCAGTCCACAGCCACTCTGTCCCGGTGGGGACAGGACTGCCCCAGGTTCCAGGAAGAGGGTGGGCATCGCCCACCATGGGGATGCTGAGGGACGTCTGGGACGTCGCACGCTTCCTGTAGACAGCTGGCTTCCCGTCGCTGGCCTGTGGCGTGGCCACATTCTGCCCCTTCTCTCCCCCCTGGCCATTAGTGGCTGTGTGGTGATCTTCAGGAGGGCTGGCAATGCCTCATTTTAGCGCTAGCCTTCCTCTCTGGAGTGTACACAGCAGCCCCAGCGGGGCCTCCTCAGGGTTCCCCAGGATAGCTGGCGTTCACCTACGGTTTGTGTAGAAGAGGACCTGGGTGAACTGCAGATGCGCCACACTCCGTACTCCTTCGGCTTTGCAGGGGATCTTCCGTCAGAGCCCAGCAGGGTGACAGCCTGCTCCAGCCACCCAGAGCTGCTGGGAGGGTGGGAGGCCTGGACAGAGGCCCCGGGGCCTGGGCCGGGCCCTACACCCACTCCAGAAGGTATGACCCCTGGCCCACGGGAAGCTGGACTCCCAGTCATTCACCTGTGGCCATTTACGTGACGTGCCCTAGAAGAGAAAGGTTGGCTGCTGGGCCTGTTCCCAGGTGCCTGCATGTCTGCTGCCAGCCTTAAGATTGCTTGTGGTGGCTGCAGAGCTGTCTGGTGTTTGATTGGAGAGTAGACAGTCCCTGCTGGAAGGCCCTTTCTCTCCTTGAGTGCCTTAAAAGGTACGAGTAAGTAGTTATACTTGATTGCGAGAACAATGCATCTTGATCTTTGCCACTCCTTCCCTTGTTCTGTCCCCTTCCCGCCCCACCCTGCAAGTTGCGTAGTTCCACCACTTTTACATAACATACATGGATTATAATGACTATCTGGCTCCTCCCCACCAAAAAAACAACAAACAAACCCCTTTTGCTGCTCCCTGGCATTCATTAGCTGTTCAGAGGAGTTAGGCCTTTGGACCCCTTGCATTGAATGTGCTTGGAAACTGCACCCTGAGTACAGTCAGTGCGCTGTTTGCCCACATCACACCTCTGTGTTTTTCTGTGACCTGTGGCAGCTCTGCATCTCCAAAGGATACCTGGAAGGCCGGGCTGTGTCCCCTCTGCGCCATGATCGATATCACATACCTTGTCTGGGACATGAATTTGATGGAATGGTTCACATTTATGAGCTTCTGTAATTCTCACTTTGCTGGCATCTTCTGGTCCAACACAATCCTGTTTACAGGGCTTGGACACCCATCCCTGTTGATTCAGTATTCTTACTTGCACAGAAGCAACTCCTAGCCTTCATTTTCACCAAGATTGGCTGATAACTTTTTAAACATTTTACCCATTTACTAGCTCATCAGTACTTCTAATTTGTGTTCCTTTGTTACAATTGTAGTTGACTGTGATTTTTTTTTTAGTTATTTGTATTTCTTTTCAAGATTCATATTCTATTCTCCTTTTTCACATAGGAAATTCTTTTTTGTTGTTTCATGAGAGCTCTTTATGTGTAAGTAGTCATCATGGCTTTTTATGGTAGTACTGAGATTTTTAACTCAGGGCCTACTTCAAGCTTGCTAGGTAGATGCTCTTCCACTTGAGCCACGATTCTGGTGCTTTATAGCTTTAGTTGTTTTTAAAATAAGATCTTATGTTTTTGTCTCTGGGCCTGGCCTCTACCACAGGCCATGGTCCTTCCGGCTGTACCTCCTGCATAGCTGGGATTATATAGAGAGCCCTATATGTGTATATATGTCCATTATGTATATATAGGAATACATACATATATGTGTGTGTGTGTGTGTGTGTGTGTGTGTGTGTATGCCTGGCTTGTTGGTGGAGCTAAGGTGGTGTGGGGTTTTTGTTTTTGTTTTTTGTTGTTTTTTTTTTTTGTCGGTCGTGGGGCTTGAATTCTGGGCCTGGGCGCTGTCCCTGCACTCTTCAGCTCAAGGTGAGCGCTCTACCGCTTGAGCCACAGCACCACCTCTGGTTTTCCAGTGGTTTATTGGAGATAAGAGTCTCACCAAAAAAAAAAAAAAGTCTCACAGACTTTCCTGCCTGGGCTGGCTTTGATCCTCAGATCTCAGCCTCCTGAGTAGCTAGGGTTACAGGCGTGAGCCACCAGAGCCCGGCTGGTGGTGTTAATTTTTTCCAGGCAGATCAAACCATGATCTTCCCAAGCTCTACCTTTGAATTAGAGTTGTGATGGGAAGGGAGCCAGCACCATGCCTGGCCTGAACAACCATTATTTTTGATAATTGTATAATGTGTCATAAGTAGCCACACAACAATTTAACTATTTTACAGTTTCATAGTTGATATTCTCAAGTGTGCACTGTGATGCGCAGTGTGATCAAGAGCACTCGCAGTTTAGACACACGTCAGCAAGTGGCGCTGGGGAAGCAGAGCAGTGTAGCGGGCCTCTCTCGGTTTTCAGGTGTTTCCTATAAGGTATGGTATGGTATGTGCACTAGAGACACTGGAGACAGCTGAGCTCGGTGGGGGTGTGCTGGGGGCTGCCACCCAGGGCAGCAGCGGCCAGACTCAGGAGGCATGGGGGGGGGGGAGCTCTGGAGGTTACATTTCACTGCTGGTGCCATCAGTCTAATTCTCTGTCCCTTTCCTAGGCGCCCTCTTCTCTCCTGGAGGTCAGCCAGCCCCTCCTGGCCCCCAGCCCAGCCAGACTAAGCCTCAGAGTCTGGACCCATTTGCTGACCTTGGGGACCTGGGCTCTGGTGTACAAGGTGATGTGGCAGGGGGGAGGGAGGGCGGCTGTGTGTGTAAATGCACCAGGGTCCCAGGCCTGGGCCTGGTGATCTGCCTCTGCTCCCAGTCTAGGCACTGGCTAAAGCCAGAAGTTGCTGCACGGGTACTGCCCCAAGGCTTCATGGCAGCAACAGGACCGTTGGGCATAAAGGAGTCACGATCTGTGCCAGGGGCCGGGAAGGCGGCTCAGTGGTAGAGCGCTTGCCTTAGCATACATGAGGCCCTGGGTTCGATTCCTCAGCACCACATAAGCAGATAAAGCAGGAAGTGGTGCTGTGGCTCAAGTGGTAGAGCGCTAGCCTTGAGCTGAAGAGCTGAGGGACAGCGCCCAGGCCCAGAGTTCAGGCCCCACGACCAACTGGGAAAAAAAAAACCTGACCAACTGGGGAAAAAAAAAAAAACTGTGCCAGGATGCCTAGCAGCCGCCTAGGAGAGGGTCAGGCTCTGCCTGGCTTCTCGGAGCTACCATGAGCTTCCATGCCTGCCTGGGCCTGGCCAGACCCTCAGACTGCTCCACCACACACATCAAGGCTGCCTCTGGGTGTAGCTCCCTGGAGCCCTGCACTCTGTCTAAGAGAGGAGCCTGACTTAGGTCCGGCCACTCACCCCAAAGACAGCAAATAGTAGGGGTGAAAAGTCGGGAAAGGATTTACTCAGCATGGTCATGCTGTACAGGAGGAGTAAGCATTTGCTGGATGTAAGCTTTAGGTAACTAGAGAAGTGGAGCTCAGAGAGAGAGATGTGTATGTATTGGGCATGTGGGGTCAAAGGTATGGTCAGGTTGCTCATTGTCTGAGTGTGAAGACAACATTGCTGCTGCCTGAGCAGCAGACTCAGTTCTTGTCAGGAAATGTTTGTCCATCAGTCCCCTCCTCCTGGAATCCAAGGAAGCTGCAGGAAAGAACGGCTCCAAGCAAAGGAGGCAATGCAAAATGGAGGCAGTTCTTATCCTGTTTCTGGTTTCCCAAGTAGAGAATGACTGTTTAGTTTCCAGGTTTGTTTCGTGCCTTTCACCCACTCCTCCTCCTGTACTTGGATGTGTGTTGGTGCTGACTGGCTGGCTCTGGCACCTGCCCTGTGTCACGGCCTCTCCTAGCCTCCCCTGGGGGGGCTGTGGGCTCAGCTCTCCCTGCAGGTCCCACACCAACCTCTTGACACCCCTTTCTGAGAAACCCATTGTGTTTGGTTTTCTGATCCTCTTAAATCCCCTCTTCTTCAGTGCTGGCCCCTGCCCATCTCCACTCCTCTTCCTCCTCGCTGCTCCTCTCTTCCTCCTCCTCCTAGATCTTGCTGCGTCCTCTGTTCTCTTGTTCCTCTTGTTCTGCTGCTGTTTCAGAGCCTCTGGCTACTGTCCCTTGCCTTCACTGTGTGGCTGGGGCACTGGTCTGAGCAGAGAGGCTGCTAAGGCCTGCCCATGGAGAGACGGTGCCCTCTGAAGGTTGTTGGGTGACCTCTCAGGACCAGGTCATCTGTTTGGACAGAGCTAGCCTTCACCTTCAGGCAGCCCAAGATCCTCTCTCATGCCCTGAGAGCAAAGCCAGGTTGAAGCAGCGAAGACTTGACATCACAGGCAGTGCTGCCAGCAGCCCACACCAGCCCTAGCAAAATCTCCCTGGCTGTCAACAGGCTCCACAGGTCCTCTCCGTGACCCCAGGTAGCCTCTACCAAGACAAAAAAATGGAATCACAGCATGCTTTTTGGCCATTGTGGAATCAAATTGGAAATTAATGGTGATAAAATCACAGAACCTCTTCACCATGAAAGGGATAGACACCGTGAATAATGCAAGGGAAACCCAGAGAAGCAGAACAGTGCATTGGGGTGAATGGAGATAAAATCCAGGAAGATGAAACATCTCTTAATAATGAGAGTTCTTGGGCTGGGAATGTGGCTTAGTGGTAGAGCGCTTGCCTAGCATGCATGAAACCCTAGGTTTGATTCCTTAGAACCCCATAAGCAGAAATAGCCAGAAGTGGCACTGTAGCTCAAGTGGTAGAATGCTAGCCTTGAGCAAAGAAAGCTTAAGGACAGTGCCCAGGCTCTGAGTTCAAGCCCCAGGACCAACAAAATAAACCAATAATGAGAGTTCTCATCTTAAGGTTGAAAAAGAGCAAAATAAACCCAAAGCAAACAAAAGGAAGGGCATATATTCTTTTAAATCAGTGAAACGGCTCATTCTTTGCAAAGATTGATGGCACTGACCAATTTCTAAGACTGACTGGAAGAGAGAGCACAGGTGGCTGGGGGAGCCTGGCTCCAAGGAGACGGAAGCAAGCGTCTGCACATTGGCACCACGGACACCGTGTGAAGTGCTACGAAAAGGACATCCTAGTAAAAGGTCCCTGGGGAAAAGGGAAGTCTCTAGACCCCGCTGAACTCACTGAAGTGTTTTGCCAAATGTTGCACTCCATCTATGGAGAACCTGAAGAAGGCACTGTTTTCTGCTGATTTTACAAAGCACCAGTGCCAAGACCAACAGAGACCACGGCCTGTCCTTGAGACACACAGACACACCACATAAAAATAGCAGCGTTGCTCCCACAGGGGTTACTCTAGGAGTACAAGACTGGTTCAGCACTCCAGAATCAATGAATGAATCTCCCGTGACTGTCTCAGCGATGCAAGTCCAGTGCCTCGCCACGGCGCTCTGCAGACGTGACAGGGAGCTGTCTCCAGAGCAGGCGCAGTGGCCGAACCTGCCGGCAAAGGATGGAAGGCACTGAGGATAGAGGAAGGCAGCCTGTCCTGCCATTCCCACTTATACTGGGAGGAAAAAATAAAATGGCATGATTGTATAGTAACCGAAAGGATCCGTGGAAGTCTTTAGAGCTGTTGTTCACCAAGGATACAAGAAGGCAAGGATTCAACAGAATACAAGGTCAAAGCACAAAAATCTCTCGTAGTTCTACTCACTTTCAATGGCGCAGAAAACCAAACCTAAAAACAGTACCATTGTAAAAAACTTCCAGTGGAGATGTGGCTTATGTGGTAGAGTGCCAGCCATGAGCAGACAAGCTGAGCACAAGGCCCCGAGTTCAGTCCCTCCCTCGTCCTGGGACACACAAACAGGAACAAAGAAACCTAACGAAGTACATACAGCTCCTACCTAGGTGGGAAAATTACAGAAGAAGAGATTGAGAATGACAGCGACACAGACCACGCTCATAGATCAGCACATAGCCACGGGGAAATACTTCTCTGCCCGTGTTCTCTGAACCAAGGGCTTTTGTAGCTCCTGCCAAGCTTACTGTCAGTTTACTTGAAAAGGCTAGAATAGTAAGTGGAAGAGTTAAGTGGGAAAAGTGACTTCCAGAGCCAGACTAGTATGGAGGGGACCAGCCACAGAGCAGTGGACAGAATCAAGAACCCACATAAGAAAGACTAACTCATTTCAAAAGCTATTCAAGCAGTGGCTGTGGAAGGCAGGACACTAGAACAGAGCTAGCTGCCCTGCCCACAGTAGAAAGCTTCCAGACTCAAAATGACACCGAGGTTGGGCTGGGGAGGTGGCTTAGTGGTTAGAGTGCTTTCCTTGCATGCATGAGGCCTTGGGTTCGATTCCTCAGCCAGAAGTGGCGCTATGGCTTGAGTGGTAGAACACCAGCCTTGAGGGGAAGAGGTGAGGGACAGCACCCAGGCCCAGAGTTCAGGCCCCACGACCACCGCCCCCCCCCAAAAAAAATTTCCAACATCAAAATGATACCGAGGGAGGATATACTTTCACAACACACATCTGACAAACGATCCGGTGAGAAGACGTGAAGATTGGGGAAGGATTCCAGCAGAAGCAGTGCCCAGGTGCAGGCCAGTGACAGCCCAGCCATGGAGATCGGGCTGGTCACCTTGAGCAACTGCCCAACAAGGGTCTGAAACCATAAGGCCGCCCTTGATCAGTTCCTTTCAGAATCCAACATCCAGCTACCACAGGACCCTGGCATTTACCCCCAGAGAAAGGAACTTGGATTTGTCAAAAATCCATGAATAATAGCCGGGTGCCAGTGGCTCACGCCTGTCATCCTAGCTACTCAGGAGGCTGAGATCTGAGGATCTCAGTTCAAAACCAGCCCAGGCAGGAAAGTCCCCGTGAGACTCCTATCTCCAATTAACTGCTCAAAAACCAGAAATGGTGTTGGGCCTTAAGTGGTAGAGCGCTCACCTTGAGCACAGAGGCTCAGGGACAGTGCCCAGGTCTTGAGTTCAAGCCCCACATCTCACATTGAGGTACAATGCAGTACCCAAGAGGAAGCAGTGAGCTGCTGTGGGTGGAGGGTGCCCTGGTGTCTGGCGTGGGCTCAGCCCCTTGAAGTGCGTGCCTAGCCCTCAAAAGTGGTGCTGGAGTGGCCACCTGACGGACAGCCTTTCCCCTGTGCACGGGCCGCGTTGGCGGGGCTGGCCCAGTGGGTGGCAGTGCCTGTCCGGGGGCGGGGGGGGGTTGGAGACAGCAGTGGTCCCTCGTTCGTATGCTTTGCCGAGTGTCTTACGGTCTCTTCGCAGGCTCACCTGGGTTTGCTCCGGGGGGCTTCAATCTCAAGTCGGCCCCCTCTCCTAAGGGTGGTAGCACCTGGCAGACAAGTCGGCCGACAGCCCAGGGCCCCTCATGGCCCTCCCAAGCTAAGCTGCCCCCCAAAACTGGTGCACAGCCAAAGCCTCACTACCCTACCAACTACAGCGTGATTGGGGGCCGAGAGGAGAGGGGTGTCCGGGTCCCCAGCTTCGGTGAGTCTTGCACCCGGAGGGCAGGGAAGCAGGGCACAGCGGCCTTCTTGGTGGCCCCTAAGGCCCCTGGGGAGGACGTGTGTCCAGATGGGTCTGGTGTGTCTATCGTCGGAGGCATCGCTGAGGTCCTCTTAGGACAGCTTCCCCACTGTCTTTAGAAGACAACCTGGGTTGTGTTTTCCTTCGACTCTGTCCAGAGAGGCCCTCAGAAGCGGGTGGAAATGGTCAGAGAGACTTGGCTGGCGTCTCTCTAAGTGGTGTCTGTTATTTTCCAGCTCAAAAGCCGAAGGTCTCAGAGAATGACTTTGAAGACCTGTTGCCGAGTCAAGGCTTTTCCAGGTCTGACAGGAAGGGGCCGAGGACCATGGCGGAGATGCGGAGGCAGGGCCTCGCCCGGGACACAGACCCCCTCAAGCTGAAGGTGGGCCGGCGGCCTGCGAGCTCCCGGGCTGAGGCCGGGACAGCTGCAGCTCTGGGGGCTGGGTGGTCAGAGGTGGATGACGGTATCGTGGAAACCCCTCTTTGCCCAGAGCTGACGAGAGAGCCTGGGCCAGACTGGCACTTGTCAGAGCCAGGGGGCTGGCCTGCTGGACGGGACAGCAGCTTCTGTTGGGGTTTAGGTCCTGACCAGTACATTTGACTGTGGGGACGTCAGGGATCCCACTTGGGCCCTGGGACAGGTTGTGGGTTTGGGTGGAAGGTCAGCTCTGCAGGCCACCGTGTAGCCATGTTGAGGGACCACCTGACAGACCTCCAAGGACTCACAAGTCCTCTCTGGACCCTGGGCCCTGTGATAGGTCAGAGAAGCCCGTGCCCGTGGACGTAGGTGTGTGTCCTCAGTGAAAGTCTGGCCCGCAGAGGCCTCTCAGTTGGGCTGAGGCAGCTGGCCTGTCCTGTCTGGGCTGGGCTGGAGCCTCTGGGGGTGGCCAGTGGTCTCCGGGTGGTGACCCACCTCAGCTGCCATGGCGGGCAGGCGAGCCCTCTCACAGCTCCCCGCAGCCAGGGCTCAGTGTGCTGGTGTCTTCCCAGCTCCTGGACTGGATTGAAGGCAAGGAGAGGAACATCCGTGCCCTGCTGTCCACCCTGCACACGGTGCTGTGGGATGGGGAGAGCCGCTGGACGCCCGTGAGCATGGCTGACCTGGTGACCCCAGAGCAGGTGAAAAAGCAGTACCGCCGCGCAGTGCTGGTTGTGCACCCCGACAAGGTGAGCGTGCAGTTCCCGGAGTGTGGTTCTGGGTTGGTCCTGCCTGCCCTGCCCCTGTGGGTCATTCCAGACCTGTCCCCCACAGGCCACAGGACAGCCATACGAGCAGTATGCCAAGATGATCTTCATGGAGCTCAATGATGCCTGGTCTGAGTTTGAGAACCAGGGCGCCAGGCCCCTCTTCTGAGATCTGACGGCTGTGGCAACACAAGGCAGCTTGTGGAGCGGAGCCGAAGGCCGCTGGCTGGCCTGACGGGGACACCCCTGGCCCGAGGCGGGTGTGGCCCGGGGCCAGGCCCCAGGGCCGGACCGGCGGCCCCCAGTGTCCCTTACTAGTCCTGGATTGATGCCAGTCCACAGCCCAGGAGAGAATGCATTCCAAAGCTCTGATTTTTGTTTCGTTTTTCTTTTGGTCCCAGAGAAGTGTTGATTTTTTTGCTCCCTCCACAGCTGTCACAGCCCGTGCTTTACGTGGTGTCTGGTGGCTGTCACCGCGGTGGCGCATGCCCGTGGCACTGCTCCTCTGTTCCTTCTCAGAGCCGGTGTGTGCTCATGTCCTCTGTGATCAGCTGACGATGGTCTGTACATAATTAAACTATTTTCTGATGGCTGTTGCGGTCTCCGGCATGGGTGCCACCTCTTGTGTCCGGCACGGGTGCCACCTCTTGTCTCCGGCACGGGTGCCACCTCTTGTCTCCGGCACGGGTGCCACCTCTTGTCTCCGGCACAGGGTAACCCATTTCTTTCTCAGTTTTTCACCCTGCACGGACTGAACTTGACCTGGATTCGGGGGCCATGGCGGTGACATCTAAAAGAAGATCAGAAGGGAGCCTGGGCCAGGGCATCGAGTCTTCTCCCTAGGGCCTAGAGCCTCCGGTCTTCCCCGGTGCTGCTGCTTGAGGCCGCCAGGACCCGCCCACTGCATGGGCTACAGGGCTGGGTCACCTGTGGACACCTGTCCTACTGACCAGGTGTGAACTTCCTGGGTGACCTCAGGCCAGTGGCCTGGGCCTGCTTGGTCTGCAACAGGCAAAACTCAGGCCCTGGTCACTGTGTACAGCCGAGACAGAGCCAGGAGACAGGTGCCCAGATGCTGCCCCTGACTGGGCACCACAGAGTCAGAGTACTACTTGTGGGAGACTCCCACTGTCAGAGATGGAACCCCAAGGGGCTGCAATACCAAAGAAAGAGTTGGACAGAGACTAGAGAGAGCCACTGACTGGAACAGAAGCTTGGTCCTGGGCTGCACGACCAGCAGATGCCGGGTTTGCATTCGAAGGAAGGGGCCAAGGTAACTCCATCCTCGCTGGGATACATAGTGTCAGCCAGGCACACTCCTGGCACATGGTCTGCTTGTGAAGTCCCCCATTCCGGCTTCATGGCTGGATCTCTTTCTGGATATCTGGGAAACTGCAGAAGAAATCAGCCAGGGTCACTCAGGCTACTCCAGCGGTGTGGCCTACAGTGACTGCTCATGTCCTGAGCTGGAGAGATGAGGCTGCTGGGCCCTGCCCGCCTCACAGACCCATCTGCGTATGGGCCAGGGCAGCGAGGCCAACCTCAGGGAGCGTGGGGATGAGTCCTAGGTGTCTGGTCTGCCGGTGCCCTGTGGCCAGCCAGGGCTTCACTGTCCATTTGAGTGCCCAGAGGACGGTAGTGTCCATCCTCTGCTAATCTGGTTTTATTTCTGGGGCTGCTGCAAGAGCTGCCTGTGGCCCTAGATCTGCCCCTCAGCAGCCCTCTACCCCCTGGCTGGCCTGGGTTCTGTGAGGGAGGTCAGGTCGCACCTGGTCCTGCTCCGCTGGCCCCAGCCGCAGCCCTGTTCTGTCAGATAACGACTCCCATTTGTTATGCATCAGCGCTATTTTTAGCATTCAGCTCTTTCAAAAAATAATGAGCAACCTAAATAGGTGCAGAGATTTTTTCTTCAGAGTCAATCTGGATTCCAGCACCGGGACTGGCATCCTGTGTTGGGGGGACCTGGTGGGTACAGGGTCACCCCCCATCTGGAGTTGGGGGTCTGTGGGACCTGGTGGTCTGGAAGTGGCCTGCACGGTGTGGAGAGGGCAGGCTGGGCCCCGAGTGGGCATCAGGCATTGGACCTCATCCCCTCCTGAGGCTTCTCCAGTTTTCATTCTGCCACGCTGCACAGTGAGCTCCAGAACCCAGGCCCTCCGGCTCTGGTCCTCCTCCCCTCCCCCCTCCCCGTAGGAGCTCAGCCAAGGGTGTGACTGCTGGGTGGGCTGAGGGCAGTGGGTCCCCATGGGGGCTCCCTGTAGTTGAGGGGGTGGGGAAGAGGTCAGGACTGCAGGCAGGGAGGCCCTGCCCCAGATTGAGGCACAAAAGGCTTCTGGGCTCCTGCCCAGGCTGTGCTGTGGCAGACACCTGTGCGGAGGGGTGGGGAAGCAGTTGTATGGGACACACAATCGGTGCAGAGGGGTGCTCAGGAAATCCCCAGGGCACACAGCGACCCCACACTTCCTTCAGTCCCACAGGATAAGCCTGCAGGAGCTGCTGTCAGAGTGTACGGGAAGCCCAGCCTGGACCTCCAGGTGGGAGAGAAGCAGGGCGGTGGCCGAGCAGGAGCAAGTTAGGAGGCTGGGCCCAGGGCACACGTGGGAAGGCACTTGGGGAGCAGGTCAGAGGGGAGCGAAGGGGTGGGGGATTCCTGCCTGACTGGCAATTTAGTCACCCCTGCCATCTTCCCGCAGAGGGCCAGAGCCCTGTGCATGCCGGTGCCCGGCCACCTGGGGCCGGGCCTACCCACCAGGGCGCCTGGCCCTGGCGGTTCAAGTCCTGGCTTGTTCGGCACCACAGGCGAGGGCAGGGGTGGGGCTGTGGAGTGGTCCGAAGTGTGGGTGGCTGTCCGGCCGTAGAGGGCTCTGGGTGGTATTTCCACCCTCTCAGCCAGCGACCTCTCGGGGAACAGCGTAGAGGAGAACCCCCATGCCTCCCAGCTTGTGGCAGTGAGAAGCCTCAGGCCCTCCCGGGAGACGTGCAGAAAACGGGTCCCCGCCGGCCTCAGGTTTGGAGGATGCCACTAACCCCCCTGGGAAGAACAAGGAGTCTGGCTTGGTGGGCTCATGGCCCAGTGACCAGCCTGGACACAGGTTCTGCCAGGACACCAGCCCGCCCTCCCCCGCCCCCGCTCCTGCGCCCTTCGCTCAGCCATGGTGGAGGCAGACCTGGCACAGGGCCTGGCGGTAGCATCCAGGTAAAAGGTCTACAAATGCTGTGTGTCAGGGGCCTGGAGGGACTGGGACCTGGACCCAGGTCGGGGAGTATCTGCTCCACCCTGGACTCAGCATTGCCGCTTCTTCATTCACCAGCAAACACAGATTCCCTCAGGAATCCTGCCTCCAAACCCACACAGCAAGCCCAAGGGAGGCGGGCATGTCCCAGGAGCTGTAGAAGCATGGGGCGACCATGGTCCTCACTTCATCCCAAGACCCCAGAGTAAGGTTTGTGGTCTGGGAAACGACCAGAAGCTAGCTGAATCCTCCAGGGAGCACGGGGAGGCGCACCGGGCCAGGAGTCCAGACCTGTCCAGTGGTATGGGAGAGTGACAGTTGGAGATGTGTCAGGGTCACCTAGAGACTGTCCCTGAGCCACTCAGGGGCGTCGTAATGCACAAGGCCAGCCCAGCCTGTGTCTTGATGGAGTTAGAAGTCACCACGCCCCATGTGCGCCCACCCAGCCCACTCAGGCTGGGGAGGACAGGCTCTGGCCAGACCCCCGCCCGGGTGGGTGGCCCCCAGCGGGAATCTGAAGGCTCCGTCTGTCCCACACAGAGAGCACAGCATTCTAGAGGTCTGTATGAAAACCAGGGAGGCCGTTGCGGGCCTGGGTCATGCCCATGCACGCTGCTGCCCGTGAGCTGTGCCTCTGCACGTGGACCTGAACTTGAGCACCTGCGAGAGCCGGCTTCTTCTCAAGACAAGCCTACTCTGTGACCTTACAGAATTCCTCACTGCCTGAAAGGTGCCTGTGCACCAGGTCCCACGCCTGCTGCTCTGAAATCCCAGGCCATCCATGAGAGACGGACACCAGCCCACCGCCGCTCAGCCCAGCAGGTGTGGCAGGCCAGCCCTGCTCCCAAGGCACCGAGAAACAGCAAAATACTGTGGACCTGAGTAACATGCAGCACATGGAGCCCAGACAGGGCTGCCGGCTGCCGGTGCTGTGGAGGAAGCGGGTGAGGAGAGGCAGTCTCTCTCCCAGGCAAGGGTTGGAGGCATGGCTCAGGTGGTAGAGCTCCAGCCAATGAGAGAAAACGTCAGATATGGAGTCTAAAGACTGGGAATGTGGCTTAGTGGTAGAATACTAGCCTAGCATGCATGAAGCCCTGGGTTCGATTCCTCAGTACCACAAAAAACAAGCCAGAAGCGGTGCTCAAGTGGTAAGAGTGCTAGCCTTGAGCAAAAGCAGCTCTGGGATAGTGCCCAAGACCTGACTGAGTTCAAGCCCCAGGACTGGCAAAAAAAAAAAAATGGAGTCTGAGTCCTGGTATCAAACAAAAGCAAAAAAAACTCCCTAGGCCTTAGAGATTGGGCTTTGTGTGATGCAAAATGTAACAAACATAAAAAGATGAGGAGCCCACAGGAAATGGAAAATGTTCTGGAACTGTCTGTGGTGGGACCCAAACACCCAGAACCTGAATATGTGGATAAACACAAAATACCCTTTCATTTTGATAATTACTGAAGCAATGCGTTACGGTGTTTATGATATTTTGATAATTACTGAAGCAATGCGTTACCGTGTTTATGATCCAAAGTGAAATATTGTCGCAGTATCTCATGAAAGTTGGAACAGCACAGATTAGCAGGAATCATTAAAAAAAGCAAAAAGCATGTCACTGATAACAGAACAAAAACGGAAATCAAGCCTGGTTCCAGTAGCGCACACCTGTAATCCCAGCTACTCCTGAGACGGGGGTGGTTACAAGCCAGCCCAGGCAGGAAAGTCCAGGAGGCTCGGATCTCCAATTAATCACAGGCTTAATCCAATTAAGCCAGAAACATCTGGGGCTCAAGCTGTGCTCAAGCTAGCCTAGAGCAGATGAAGCTCAAGGACAGCACCCAGGTCCCGAGTTCAAGCCCCATACCACCAAAAAGAAAAGAAAAGAGGAAGAGGGACAGATTATGATAGAACATACAACCTTAAAAGAATACTAAGTACAATGAATATATGTGTGTTTCTCATAGTTGTACAAAGAGGTTTAAATTCAACGTGTCAGTTTATGAGTATAATGCACATGAACAACTTTATATAAAAATCTAACTTAGACGAAATGAACAAATTCCTTGAAATACCCAAATTATCAAAGTTTGGAAAAAATTAAAATTTTGAAAAAATATCAGAGTTCAGGGCTGGGAATGTGGCCTGGTGGTAGAGTGCTTGCCTAGCATGCAGGAAGCCCTCGGTTTGATTCCTCAGTGCCACATACACAGAAAAAGCTGGAAATGGTGCTCAAGTGGTGGAGTGCTAGCCTTGAGGCAAGGAAGCTCAGGGACAGTGCCCAGGCCCTGAGTTCGAGCCGCAGGATGTAAGTGAGCTCTCGGGGATGAGGGGCTGGAGGCTGTCTCCCACTCTCCCAGACCAGGGCGCT